TCGTGTAGGTGCCCCGGCTCTGGGTGATCTGTATCTCAAATGGGTCCAAAAGTATCTGCCCTGAAGCCTTGAATCAGATAGTTAGGATCTAAGGAACAGCAGGAGTTCAGACACCCTTAGGCTTAGAAGTTGTATTGGCAAACGATGCGTGTCTCCCCACTAAATGAGTGGGTAACCTGAAAGTGACTTTGGGACCATAGGGTAGGCTGGGAATAACCTAGGTCTTCCAATTTACTGTGTAAGAAGACTAAGTATGTGACCCTTCTCATTTGTATTGCCTTCCTGGGCTAAGGCACCTTAATTTAGGGGCAGATCTTAATGGTTATTTGAGATCTGGCCCTAAATACCCATCAAAGGCAAAATGGAAGCAGCATTTAGAATAAAAAATATGTAACAAATGGAAAAATGAAGAAATATATAGCAGTCAATATACATTAAAATTTACAAAGTATAGAAAATTGGTAAGAGAATCTAAGATAAAATAAAAATCCATGCTGGCCAAAAATAAGGAAAAGCAGAAGGAGATTCTTAAGTGTATTAAGAGAAAGATAAAACATGGCAGTCATACAGAATGGTCTGGATCACTTGGTAAGCTGGCCCATTCAGTCAAAGTGTAGCTTACTATAGCCAAAAATAAAGTTTTACATGTAGAAATAAAAAAATGCTGACTGTGTGTATAGACTGGGGGATCCTGTCCTGGGAAGTAGACAAGCAACTAAATAGGAGCTCTCAGTGTGATGCTGTGACAAAAAGGGATAGTTCAGGTCCTGGATGAATAAATAGAAGTAGTGAGTAGGAGTAGGAAAGTGTTTTAACACTACATATGGCACTGATAGACATATATGGTAGTAGTGTATAGTACTGGTGTCTGTGTTTTAAGAATGGTGTTAAAAAATTTGAAAGGTTGCAGACAAGAGCCCAAAATACTTTGAAGGCTGAAGGAAATGCCTTCTGGAGAGAGACTTAAAGAGCTCTCTCTTTTAATTTATCTAAAAGATTAAGCAAGCCATTTTTCAGTTTATAGGTACCACATTGTCTTGCATATAACTCACTCCTGAATATAACACACACCTCGTTTTTGAAAAAGTAACATAAAGAAAAAAAGATTTCACATTGGGTAAGTATCTGAGTAGAAGCATCTAGGGAGCTGAGGTTGTTGCTAGCTCCACACACTGAATGGGGCCCTTGGAGGGAACCCATGTACTGGCTTAATCTGGTGCTGTAGGTCTGGGGCCGTGTGCTGAGCCTGATTGGTTCTGTGGTATGGGAGCATAGCCTGGGCCTCATCCAGCATGGTCGATTTGGGGCTGTGGCCTAATTAAGTGCAACGGGTCTGGATCTGTGTGCTGGGTCCAACCTTGCATACTGGCTCCAGGGTTGTGTGCTGGGTCTGACTGCTCCCCACACTGCCAAATTTCTGGACTTGCAGAGATAAGATTTTCTTGCATATAATTCCTAATTTTGTTTAAGGTTTGAGCAGGACAAGCCAGTCTGCTACATGGAACATAAGGAAGCCTTGCTAGAGTCTTTAGAAAATCTAGGTTGGCCTGTTTCCTATGAAGATGTGATGCTGTTGGAAGATGAAATTCTGGCAGGGTTAACATATATCCAACAGGCCTCTGATCTTCAGGAAGCTGCCAAAAAGGACATTCAGAGGACCTCTGCTTCACCTGTCAACCACAGTAAAAAGGTAGGTAGTATTGGTGCTATATATAGCATAAGGTGGTATATAGCATTAGAGAGGTGGTCAAAGATATTTTTCAGACATTCTTCATCCTGTCTTTCTGTAATAATTTTGACTGTCACTTGGCTGTTTGATAAATCAGTGATAACTCTGTGCACACTGGAGGAGATGCATGTTTCTTAAATGAAATAAAAGAGTGGGGCAAAATCCAGACTGGTTCCAAGTCAGGCCTGCTTAAAATGAAGTGCCTGCCTCCAATATGATAATTCAAAATGCAGATGTAGGTTACACCTGGGCTGTCTACACAGTCAGTAGGGACAGTTAAGGGCCTCCTGAGGGCAATTCACAACAAAGGAAAAAAAAGAGAAGCTGGACATGAAGCTGCCTAGAGCTAGCCAATAGGAAATGCTTAGCACATGGGTAGATTTGAATTCCTGCCCTTTTCTTGATCCTGAACCTGGAGTCATCTTCTGAGGAGAGGCACAAGCATGACTTGTTGTGTTATGGTGGTGCCCACCTTTTGTGCAAAAATTTAGTAGTTAGAGCACTTTCTCAAGATAGGCCAAGAACCCAGGTCTCTCTTTTCTCATCATCCTGAGGAGACCCAAACACATATCTCATACTACCCAGAAAAGCACCCTAACCATCAAGTTAAAGAATAACCTACATGGGAGCACACTCCATTCCTCTGTTAAAGCTTGGTCAGTGGGCAGAAATAGTAATCATCAGGGATCTTGATTTTCCCTGGTAAAAAAAATTGCAAATTCTCTGATAAAACCCCCCAAAATCTGTGATTAAAATGAAAGGCCACTATATATATAGGTATCAGTTGAACACAATGTTTTTATTGATACATTTACAATTTTAAAGCAATTTGGTAGCCTACCAGTGCCTCAATCACTATTCTCTCTTTCTCTCTCTCTCTCTCTCTCTCTCTCTCTCTATATATATATATATTAAATTCCAAAAGCAATATGGACAGACAGACTAAGGCTTTTATATATATAAAAGCCTTAGTCTGTCTGTCCGTATTGGTTTATTCGCACTCTGATTGGCTGTCTCAGCAGCCAATCAGAGTGCGAATAAAGTGTTATGGCCAGTAGGCAGCAGAGTGCAGAGGGGATGGGGGGGCCAGGCCAGTGCAGCTGCCTTAGCCCTCCCTGCGGCTCCATGGAGGAGGTGGCGGTGGAGTCAGAGGTCAGGAGAAACAGGTTGGGGCTGTAGCAGTGAAGGGGGGCAGGGGGAGTGGCCCTGAAATCGAACTGCTGGGGGGAATGGGGTCAGGCCCGAAGTGATGGGGAGGGGGGGAACAGGGTCAGGCCTGAATGGGGTGGGGTGCAGATGAGAGGATTGGGGGAGCAGGACTGGACACTGGGCTCTGTCCCCACTGGCCCCGGCCCTGAAGCAGAGGGGGCGAGGGTTGGGGGAGTGAGCCTGGGCCCGGGTCTCTGTCCCAGCCACCCCTGCAGGCAGGCAGCGATGGCAGTGACGGAGTGCACAGGCCAGCGGTGCTGGCCCTGCCCCCCCATGGCAAGTCCAGTGCCATTGGCCCTGGCCCCCTGGCCCTGCAGGCAGTGACGATGGAGCAGACAGAGGGGTGGCCCCATCCCCCCTGCTCCCTGCAGGCCCTGAAAATGAAATGGATGGGGGGGGCGGGGCAAAGCACCGCTGGCCATGCCCCCCGGCCCTGCAGGCGGCGGTGATGGAGCTGATGGTGGGGTGGGGCCTGCAGATGGGGGGGGTGGCCTGGCCCTGGCACCAGCCCCAGCCCCATGGTGGCAGAGGGGAGAGGAGGAGCATGCCTGGCCCCAAAGGTGGTGGGGGTGGGGACGGATGCAGGTCTCTGACTCCGGCCACCTTTCCTCACCGCCTGTCATCCTTGACAGGCAATTGACTAGTAATAAAATAAATTCTAAATACCTATACATTTTGGCATTTGATTTTGGGTTTTTTATCAGAAAATCAGAGCTCCCCCTGCCCCCTCAGCTCACAGAACACAAGTCCAGGCTCCTCACTCCCAAGCCACAGCCCTTCAGCCCTGCTGGTGCCCTTTACTCCTCCCCATAGCCCTGCTGGAGGGGACCCTGGAACTCTGCCAATCTGCAGAGAACTCTTTGCAAAATATGTGGGTTTCTCTGTTAAAATGAGAAATCCATGTTTTCCTCTGGTAAGGGGGAAAATCTGTTTTTCTCCAGTTTTCCATGGGAAACAGAAAACCCATATCCCTGGTAGTCACTGACTACATTTTCACCATGGGGTTTTAGGCCTTTGGTTTCATGCAAGTTTAGCTCCAGGAGCTTGACCAGTCAAAATAAAACTCTTCTCTCAATCATGAAAATGTTTCTATTGCCTTTTTCTTACCAAATATCTTCAGTTGTTGGTGGTGATTTTGTTTTGTTTTAGTTTAGAAGGCCTCTGCAAATATAAGTATTCTAAGGCTCTTTCTACATGCGTATTACTAGGAAAATTCAAATAATATGTTAAAATCATTATCAAGCCCAAACTGATTACTATTCTGGTCATATCCCAGAACCTTCTTTTTACTTCTCCATCTACATTTTTTAAATGTATAAAAAATACATTTGACCGAGTATATAGTTTCAAAATAACTTTGATAAAACATTTACCGATCCAAGACAGCCACATGATGTAGCAACTACTGCACATGTGAAATCAAAGGATAAATGCAAGGATATAGTTGAAAGTAGAAAGACACAGGTTGATCACAAGTTTTAAAATGAGCAGCCTTTTACAGCCAATGTTTGTTCCTATTTCATGCATAGTAAGTCCAATGTAAGGTTCTGATACTGTAAATACTGATTGTTCTCTGCTCTCATTGTAATGAGATATGTGGGTGCTCAGCATTGTGTAGGATCAGGTGCTAATTAAGTATGAATATATCCTCTCATGGTATTATTATTTGTAATGTGACAGAGCTCATTGTTTTATATTCAGTTAATCAAAACCCTGCAATGTTTCTCATGTTGGAAGCCCAGTAGTTTTTGGTTAGGTTCTTTATTATTCTTTGGGCCTTCAAAATCTTCCTCAAATCTATAAAATTCAGAAATGTTCTAAAGTTAGAAAGCTGAACTGTTTATTTTCTAGACACAGACAGATAAGGCAATACATAGTTCTAACATCTAACTTAAGATTGTTTATCTCCTGCTGAGTCAAATGGTATGGAATTAGAGAGTGGTCCACAACCCATGGTTAATGGACACCATGTTGCCTGCAAGATCCCCGACATGGCTTGCAGCCACTATGATTGACAGGAAGAGCAGGGTATCATGTCTGCAGGGTGTTACTTGCTTGCTATTGTTGCCGTAGGCTAGCAAAGGATGAGGACTCATGAATTTTAGTTTACAGAATTGAAAGTAGAAAGTGGGAGAGGAGGATTTTGTGTGTTGGAAATTAAATAACTCTCACTTCCAAAGTGGGATTTTGGTTCCAATCCACAGATATAATAGTACAAATTGTGATCTTACCTGTGTATGTGTGATTTCATCATTTTTTGTGAAAGGCATGTGATTTCATGCATAGATAGGCTATTAGTCTTCTGACTATGGCTTTTTAAAGTTAAGGGAGAGAGAGAGTGTGATTGACATTAGCTTGACTGGCTGTGACTCTTAGGCTTTCTTTGGCCATGAGAATTCAAGCTAAAAGTGACAGGTAAAAGATAGGGAGACTGATGAGTGACAAATTTGATGGCTTGACAGAAAAAGAAATACAGAAGAAATGCAGAGAGTGCACATTGATAAATGCTGTTTGAAATTTGACAGCTCAGTGTCAGTTTCAAT